CTGCTTAGCTTGCACTGCTCTTGCATTCTCCTTCACAATTTCTCTTGCAGATTCCATCCGTTCTCGCGTATCCATCACAAAACTCAGTATATCTGTTTCGATTTCTGTGCTGTGGATCCATTCCTCCTTTAAAACATCTAACGGTCCTCTCACCTCCCGTCCGTATAGTAGTTCAAAGGGACTGAACCCAAGAGTCGATTGTGGAACTTCCCTATATGCGAACAAGACATATGGTATCATGTGGTCCCAGTTCTTCCTCTCTCCTTCCAATACTTTCCTTAGCATAGACTTTAGTGTTCGATTAAATCGTTCCACGAGGCCATCGGTCTGTGGATGGTATGGACTGGTCTTGATTGCTTTGACCCCCATGAGATGATATAGCTCTCCCAGCAAGCTTGATGTGAAATTTGAACCTTGATCTGTCAATATTTCTTCAGGAATTCCATATCTAGCAAATAACTCAATCAACACTTCAGCTACTTTCTTTGCAGTAATATTCCTTAAAGGAAATGCCTCTGGGTATCTTGTTGCGTAATCATTTATCACTAGAATGAATCGGTTTCCACGACTGGTTCTTGGTAGCGGTCCTACAATATCCATGGCAATCCTCTTAAATGGTTCTCCTATTATGGGTAAAGGTATCATTGGAGCCTTCCTCTTGTGATTTGCATGTAGCTGGCAATCTTTACAAGCTTCACAATAGAGTCTCACATCTTTAAATAAAGTAGGCCAATAGAACCTCCTTAATATCCTTTGGGTTGTCTTGTCTCTACCCAGATGTCCTGAAAATGGTAAATCATGTGCTAACCTGATGACTTTATTCCGATACTGTGCTGGTAGAACAATCTGTTCATATGTGGTACTTGGTGAGTCCTTGGGTCTCCATGTACGACAAATTACTCCTTCTTTCCGAACTATACGTGATGGATCCTCCTTCTTTATCCATGACTGAATCTCGCAATCTTTCTCCTGGTCCATTATCAGTTGTTTAGTCTGGTTGGTACTTTCTATTCTGTTTCTCTTCTGATTTTGTCTTCTCTTCTCTCCTCTAGTCTGATATATCTTCGTCCGAGATGTAGGTTGAAATAGCTCCTCCTCAAATGGAAACTGTACTCCTAGATCTTCATCTTCCAGTATTGTCTCCTCCAGTTCACTCTCTTCTCTTGTCTCTTGCTCCATGGCTTCACTTTGCTCCTCTGATCTTTCGGGTAATGGCTGATGCTCTTCTGAATGCTGCTCCGTATCAACTTGAATCTGTCTTCTCTGAGCTCTTGTCATCACTGCTAATGCTGATTCATCTTCTGACTCTTTAATCTCTCCAATATCAATCTGATGCTCTTTAGCCAGTTGTTTCAGTAGCTCTATCTGTTCTGATTTTGGTAATCGCTTTGCCATATGTTTGTGTAGTGGTACATCCCTTCCCAACAGCACATCTTCTGCTAGTCCTTGTACTACTGCTGCTTTCACCTGGTAATCCTCTCCATCAAATGTTATCCGAACTGATGCTAGTGGATACTCCCCATAAGTTCCATTCCCAAAAGTAACTCCAATCGTCTCCTTCTCTATGTCTTTCAATGCTACAAACTTCCTATCAACCACAGTCCTTGATGCTCCGCTGTCTATCTGAATTCGCTTCGCATTGTGTCCATTGATCTTTCCTTCTCCATGCCAAATGACTTCCTCTGCATTCTCTTTGGCTCGTAGAGTTTTCTCCGTACAATTTCTTGCTATATGCCCCTTGCGATTACACTTG